GTTCTGGGCCTGGTGTTATGCTCTTTGTGGACACTCATTGCACTCAATGTACATGGTTTCCATTTTACAAAAGAGGACTGGAGTCTCAGAAAGGTTAAGCAACATGCTGGAAGTCACACTGCATGGAAGTCAGGATTTGAGCCCTGTCAAGCTGCCCACCTCCCCCCCCAAACTTCTAGTCCATCCCCAACATGTCATGTCTCATTTGGAGGGTTACACCTGAAGAAGGAGAAAATCTAGCATGCCAAGAGGTGTGGCTGCTGTTTAGGGGGTCTCTACCCATTAACAGCTAAGGTGGTTTCCTGAACACAGCTCTCTCAAGTAGGGTCCTGTACAAGAAAGGGGGTTCCCTTGACTCTAAAGCTAGAGCCCTGAGGCTTTTTTCCTGGATTTCTCCAGAGCAACCACTGTGGAAGCCTGTTCCCCACCCATGTCTCCAGTGGGCCACTGGTCAGAATTCACTTAGGTTTCCAGAGGTCACTGCAGGCTGCTGGCTGCAGATCACCAGGCTGTGTTGCCCAGTCTGCCATTAGCCCAGCAGCTGTGAGGCCCACAGATGTGACAAAACACCTGTCACCTATCTATTAAACTCCAAGCACTATTAAGCTTAGAGATAGAGCTTGGGTCTTCAAAGCTCTTTCAATGTTAATGCGTTTCCTCACTCGTTGTGACTCTGCTAGCATTTGCTTTGGTCTCTATTAAAGGCCTACAGCTATTCTTGTCCATGGTGGTTCTTGTTGTTCTTGTTTGATTTGTTTGTTTGCTCGTTGTTTCATTCCTTCCCTACTGGGTCCTTGTTTAATATAACATTCTGTACCCCCAAAAGGCTTTACTTTGGGTAGGGAAATCTGACAAAAGCAACATTTTTAAATAAAAAGTTTTTCAATTTATGGCACTCACAGCCTCTGACGTTAACCTGTGAAAACAAATGTTTTCTCCTGAGCTCACCGTGATTTCAGAAATCCCTCAAATTAACAATAGATGTTTGAGGTTTAGCACCTTAGACAATACTTACTTTGTGCCAGAAATGATTCTGAGAGCTTTGTGTGGATCAACTCATTGACTCCTCGTAACAGCCCTATGACACTTGCAATTAAGTAATGTCCCCGCTAGACAGACAAGGCAACTGAGGCACAGAAAGCTGGTGCATTCAGCAGGCATCTAAGCTGAGACCTGAGGCAAGGCAGCCAGATCCTCTGCTCTCATGCATTATCTCATATCCCCCCGTGGCATGTGTTTAGTACCTGCTGGATGCAGCCAGCATTCAGCCAGGGCTCCTGATGCACTAGCTACTCTGTTTCTATGGGTCCAATCCACTCAGGATTTCTCAACATGTTTCTCTTACCAGATGAGAACTTGCAAACTCCCCTCAGGAGCCCATTTCCCAGCTTCATTATTCTAAGGGCCACCCAGTCTAAGTCCCTATGAATCTGCTACTGAGCTGAATAGACACCAATCATCTTTCATGGTTGGAGTTGTGGGTTGGAGGGTGACTTTATTTGAGTCACTCTGGTCTTTCATAATTTACACAAGAAAGACCTTCTGAATTCTAAAAATATTGGTTGCCCATTTTACAGATGAGGAAACTACTAGAGTCAAGACCACATAGTCTCTTCCTGGTTAGGGTAACAGAGCCAGCTCAGCTGAGTCAGAGAGGGTCGTTCATCTTTAAAGCCAGTCTCCAGCCATTCTCTAAATTTTTACAACCACCTAGCCCCTGTACAGTGTGTAGGGATTATATATACATGCAGAGATTTTTCAGGGCTGTCCATCAACTGCAGTATAGCGGTCTTGCAGTGAACTTGTAACAGTGGCCACACCCCCTTGGCATGACCTCAGGCAGATGGTTGAGGAAAGACAGAAACTTGAGGCATGGCTTTCCTTGACCTGGTCTTTCTGGAGGGTCAGCTGATCCGGTACGAAGGGCAGAGAAGCACTCCTGCAGTTCTTTGTATTTTTCTGTGTAATTGTTCCCCAATAAACACCCATTTATCATTTATCTTGGGTCTAGTGAAATAATTACAAAATCGCCTTCACTACAGAGCACTGAAGTGAACTTGAATAGCCTCCTTAGTCCGGGCTGAAGATGCTCAGAGTACAGGGCCGTCAGTGTGATCCACACTCCTGGAAAGGGACAGACACAAAAGTAACTTCTTTCTGTGGTTGGTTTCTATTGGCTTAGAAACTCTTGAGCCAGGAAGATGGTAAGGTGTGTGTTTTTTGTATTTCCTGCTGTGGTTGAATCCATTTGAGGTCATCACAAATGGCATTTATGCAACCACGTTCTGGCCATGTGTTCTCTCCTCGTGGTGACAGGAAAACTGATGTACCAATAGAGAAATTAACTTGCTACTCCGGGGCAACTGACCTCGGCTTTTCCTTTTTCCCTGGTTGCAAAAGAAAGCACCTTCAGAAGGATGGGTGGAGAGCTAGTTCACTCTTGGGACGAAATCCCCTCTCAATTTAGACCTGCAAGCTGAGCCTGCTGGTTCATGCCTATAATTCCAGCACTTGGGAGGCTGACACAGGTGTACTGCCATGAGTCGTGGCTAGCCTGGGCTTATATACAGTGTGAGTTCCTTGACAACCTGGGCTACAAAAAAAGACCCTGTCTCAAGAAAGGAGGAAGACAGAGGAGAGGAGGGGAGGAAGGAAAGGAGAAGGAATGAAGATGAAGGAAGGAAAAGTAAAGAAAGGAAGAAAAAGTTTTTTGTGAGGTGTTTCGTTTTGTTTAACTGAACTTCTATTACTTAAGTGCTAAGGAGTTGAAAATTTCAACATCAGCAACCCAAAGACTGTAACCATTTTGTGTCAAAGTCACAAGGCAAAGGTGTGACTTGTCATGATCTTCTACCCTTCCATCCCTAAGAGAAGGAGCCACTCCAGTGTCAGGGGCTGTCTTTGTTTTCTGCTGAGCTATTGTACTTATTTTGGGTTTGGGACTGTTTTTGTCCCAAGTGTCAGAGTATGATGGACTTGTTTCTGTCTAGAAAGAGTAATGAAAGTCATCAAAAAAAATTAAGCGTGGTTCCAAATTAACATGGCCACCCCCTACCCTCCTGTCCTTTTAAGATGCAGTTACATGGGGCATGGAACCTCATGTCTCCTTCTTAGACCCTGGATCTTCTTATATTTGACCAGTTGAGATTAATAATAGAATTTCTAAAAAATATATATATCACTGTGCCAGGGTCTCAGCTAGCCTGGGGTATGAATTTAGAGCTTTTATTTTTTGTTGTTTAAATCCTCAATGTTTTAGGTGTCACTTAAAAAGAATGCATTTAATCTTAATTTTGAAACAACAAAAATTCTGTCATATAATTAAATATAAATGTACAGTCAAGTAATGTATACAAATGTCATTGACTTGATGTCTATTCCTGTGTTCTAGTGCCTTGGTCATTGAAAAACAGCAGCATAGACAGTGGCGAAGCAGAAGTTGGTCGGCGGGTGACACAGGAAGTCCCACCAGGGGTGTTTTGGAGGTCACAGATTCACATCAGTCAGCCCCAGTTCTTAAAGTTCAACATCTCCCTGGGGAAGGATGCCCTCTTTGGTGTCTACATACGGAGAGGACTGCCACCGTCTCATGCACAGGTACGGCCACACTTGTTGGAACCAAGTGGGTAATGTATGCAGGTGCATTGCTTCATACCTACTAAAATGCCTGGATACTAAAGCACAGACAAGAACAAGTATTGACAAAGATTGGAAGAAACTGGAGCCCTTGTATATCCATAGTGTGAATCAAAATAGTTCAGCCACTACAGTGTAACAGTAGCCAGTTACTAAGAAAGACAACTGTACACTTGCCATAGGACAGAACTTTCTTGGATAGATAGATAGATAGATAGATAGATAGATAGATAGATAGATATGCTCAAAAAGAAGAGAAAGCATTTTGAAGAACACTAATGTCCACTATAACATTATTCATAACCAACAAGTAAAAAGCAACATGAGTGTCCAAATGATGGATGACTGGATAAACAAAATGTGACAAGGCTATACAATGGAATATTACTCAGACACAAAAAGGAATAGAGTGTTGTGATTTGATACAGCATGCATGGGTACGCTAAGCTAAATGAAGAAAGTCAGATATAAAAGGCCTTGTGCTGTACAATTTTATTTATAAACTTTCTGGACTAGGCAAACCTATAGATGGAGAAGGTAGGTAGGCAGTTGCCAGGAAATAGGAACTAAATTCTTTTTTAATATTCTGACCACAGCCTCCCCTCCCTCCTTTCCTCCCACTTCCCTTCCCCTCCTCCCAGACACCCCCTTCTAATCCATCCCTTCTCTGTAATTGCTGAGAGCCCATGGGCATCAGCAAAGCATGGTGTATCAAGCTGCCATAAGACCAAGCACCTCTCCCTGTATTCAATTTGGGCAAGGCAATCCAGCCTGAGGAATAAGTTCCCAAGATTCCCACCTGTAGACCAAGCTACACAACTGTCACATAATACCTACTAAAATGCCTGGTCCCATGCAGGCTCCCAGGTTGTTGGATCAGACTCTGTGAGTCCCCATGAGCCAGCTAGTGGTTTCTGTGGGTTTTCCCTTGATGTTCCTGAGCCTTACAATCCCTCCTTCCTATCCTCAGCAGGACTACCCAATGTTTGGCCTTGGGTCTCTGAATCTGCCTCTACCAGTCACTAGATGAAGGCTTTCTGATCTGATCCCAGAGCCAGTTCAGGCTCTGCATCCACTGCCTCCAGGAATCTTAACTGGGACCATCCTTGTAAACTCATGGACATTTTCTTCACATCAGGCTTCTACCCGACTCCATAAAGCTACCCTTTCCAGTTACCTCTCTCAGTACTGTCCCCCTCCACCTACTTCCTAACCCAATCCCTCCAGTTCCCATGCCCACTCACCCTCAGTCCAACAGGAGATCTCTATTTTCCCTTCCCAGAGAAATCCATGCATTCCCCCTTGGGCCCTCTTTGTTACCTAGCCTCTCTGGGTCTGTGAATTATAGCATGGTTATCCTTTGCAGTTAATATTCACCTATGCATGGGTAAACACCATGCTTGTCTTTCTGAGTCCAGGTTACCTCACTCAGGATGGATTCTTCTAGTGGGGACTGATTTCTAACAGGAACACAATTTCTTCCAGGAGTGGTAGGACGACTCTGAAGTTGCTTGAGGTTGTGACATAACAGTGAATGAACTAAAACACTGAGATTTTTTTAAAGTTAAATTTATGTTACATGAATTATTGTTTTTAAAGATGTGACACCCTACTAATGTCTGGCCTACTCTCATTGACATAGGAGTTAATTGTGGGGTACCTTAAATTGAAAAGTCATTTCATTAAAGTCACACTAGGTAATGGACCATTGTATATGGGAAGAGTGATGTATGGAACTGGTATCCAGTGACGTTTCTCTGTGGTACCCTGAACTGCGCTCCTTGGGAAATCCTTGGCAATGTAAAGGGGAGATTATTGCCAGAGTTAGGAATAAGGAAAGTAGACCTTATTATGGAACTCATATTTATCACCCTGTGTCTTCCTGGTATATATTTCATTATGCATACCATTTGGATTGAATTAACACCTACCTCGCTTGAATTTCTTTTCCAACAAAAATTATATTTTCTGAGAAAAGCCAACTTTTCCCTGCCTCATTTGCCCTCAAATCTAGCAAAAATATAAAATACCTTAGGAAGCACACTGTGGAGGGAAAGCACCCAGATGTCCAGTCAAAGCTGGCTTTGAAATGTGTTGGAAAGATATTCATTTAGAAAATCCTCGAAGAAGAAATTAAGCTTTTAAAATCATTGGCAAACAAGAAGCAGCCAGGCCACCATATCCTTGTCTGTAGCTCAGAGCAGACATTGCTAATCAATGACAGCACTTTTCCTCACTGAGCCCAGCACACAAATACCTCCCCAAATACTCTCAAGGCAGTAAATACCAATCGACCAGTGTTGGCT